ATATAAATTATGTCATGACTTTTTCCTTGTCAAGACCTACAAACAAAGGAATGATGATTTGGATTCTTTAATATTCAAATATGAAATAAGAAACTGAATGCCGTTTTTCCTAACCCTTGTCTCTGGGTGGTCATGGTGAGGGCACTGGTGAGAAGGAGGTATATGGGTTACTGCATCCAGGAAATTCTAGGCTCTTATACAACTGAATTTGATTATTCAATTAATAATAAGTGGAAGAGCCTGGAATATGTCCTCTACTGTTCTACATTTTAGCAAATATAGAACCTCATTGTTCATCTGTGCTTTCTTGCTACCCATAAAAATGACAGTGAAAAATAGCCTTCCATTAACACAAAAGCAAAATGTGATGCAGTAATGATGCTTGAAGCGCCCTGCAATGCTGGAAATTTTAGAACTCATTAATAATAAATTACCAGCAATGCCACGGGCAGCTGATACCTCCTCTTTTTGGCAGGTAAAACTCTCCATTATAAAATAATCATTTACCAGGCCATATGTCATAACCTTCATAATTTTCTTAAAGCAATTTACTTTAAGATCAATGTCACCAACATTGAGTGCATTTTACAGATGGGAAAACTGAGTCTGGTTTGCCGAATGATTTGTGTCAGAATGAATCAGGGAATTGTAACTGAGATCAGACTTTAGTTCTATATTTGAATTAAAAACTCTTGTTTTGAGTACATTCGTGAATATGACCAACATAAGTAGGAACCATTGGCTAATGAGTTGAGGATGAAGTAGAAGATGAAGCTTCATTAATTCCAAACTCATTTGTTTCATCCATCACATTCAAACACAGGCAACAACATGATAAATTATTAAAAGGTAGAGTTGTCCATATTTCTCAATGCATGAATTGGGGCCATAAGAGAAGTAAACAAAGGTTATGTTGTTGTTGTTGTTGTGGGCCATCAAGTTAGTTCTGACTCATAGCAAACCTCTATAGGGTTGCCAAGGAACTACTGGTAGGTTTGAACCACTGACCTTTTTGTTAGCAGTCCAATGCTTATCCTACAGCACCACACCAGGACTCTGCTGTTGCTGTTGGTGTAACTCATAGTGACCCTGTATATAGGGTTTCCACGGAGCGGCTGGTGGGTTTGAACCACAGACGTTGTAGTTCAAACTGACCTTGCAGTCCAGTACTTATCCTACAGCACCACACCAGGACTCCAGGACTCTACTAGTGGAATGGAAATAAATGCAAAGCTTACAAACAGAAGGGCCTAAAATCTGGTTGACTGTCACTCCTGGTGATTCGTGTGTGAGAGAACAAAACTGTACTCTAATAGGTTTTCAATGACTGGATTTTCATAAGTAGATTGCCAAAACGTTCTTATGAAGTGGCTCTGGGTAGACTCAAACTTCTAACCTTTTGGTAGGCAGCGGACTAGCTTAACCACCGACCTTACAGTTCAAACAACCTGAGGTAGAGTGCTTATCCTATAGCACCACACCAATATGTTGTTGTTGTTGTTAAGTGCTGTTGTGGCAGTGCTGACCCATAGCGACCTTGTATAGGGTTTTGAGGAACAGCTGGTGAGCTTGAACTGCCTACTTCATGGTTCAAACCGACTTTGCAGTCTAGTGCATTAACTCACAGCACCACACCAGAACTCCAGTTTTATACAGCCTTTCGATGCATAAATTCCTCATACAAGGATCCCAAACAAATACAGAAGTATAAAAAACAACATAAAAATCACAAGTTCCTGAAGCTCTTTCACCTTTTCTCTTTTGTCAGTTGAATGGCAGTGAATAGCTTGCAAACCAGTTCAAAATTGTCTCGCTCCTTCTGTCTTCTTTGTCTAGTTAGAAAACTAAAGATTCTATTTCAAGTAAGGAATCACATCTTCTCTCTAGCATTCTCTAACTGTGGAAACAGTTTTGTTGTTAGGTGCCATCACATCAGCTCTGACTCATAACAACTGCCAGTATTGGAACCATGTCTATTCCTGTGCCATCCTCACAATAGTAGATACGTGTGAGCCATTGTTACAACCACTATGCCAACTCATCTCATTGAGGGCCTTCCTCCTTTTCACTCACCCCTCTACTTTACCAGTCTATGCCCATACCTTCCTGAACGCACCCGATCTCATCTGATCTTGGAAGCTAAGCAGGGTCAGACCTGGTTAGTACTTGAATGGGAGACTGCCTGAGAGACTGAGTGCTGTAAGCTTTGGTGACTTCTGGTGTGGTACTAGGATAAGCACTGGACTGCTAAGCACAGGTCAATAATTAAAACCCACCAGAAACCCTATACAGGGTCACTATGAGTGGAATCCACTGGGCAGCACTTAGTAACTATGACTTTACCAAGCATATCCTTCTCCAGGGACTGGTCCCTCCTGATACCAGGTTCAAAGTAAGCCAAACAGAGTCACCATCTTCACTTCTGGCTGTATAGGCAGATTCAGTAATAATGTTGTTGTTGTTAAGTGCCATCGAGTCGGTTCCGACCCATAGCGACCCTGTATAGGGTTTCCAAGGAATGACTGGTGAGCTTTAACCACCTGCCAACCTTGCAATTCAAACAGCTTTGAAGTCTGGTGCATTAATCCACAGCGCCACACCAGGATTCCCAGTAATAATAGTTGGGGACAAAAAAAAA